GTCGTACGTGTGTATATCCAGAAATTTGTATTGAAGTGAAAATTTCTTTAGAATCAGGGTGATTTGAAAATCGTGAAACGGAAGAACGTGAAACCGATGAAACAAAAATAATTAATTAATTAATTAATTAATTAAATTCTATAAATAAAAATTCAGTGTCACAATATGTTTGTCCACTAATAATTTCGAAATTACTCAACTTATCATAATGAAATTTGCTTGTATTTCACGTGATTTTTATTTAACTTAGCATATAGCACAATTTTTATCATCATTTTTTATTACTAATTTAAAGATTTTGATTTAGAGGTTATCTAGGTTCTGTAAGATTCTTTCAATAGATGGCACTGTATTACAATTCAATTATTTCGAAGCTTGATTTTCTTTGAAAGTTTCACTTCTACCATGTGTGTGATCTGCACACATCTGTTGCCCCCCCCCCCCCAAATATTTTTCAATCTTTTATTATTTATTTTTATTGTTTTTACTTATTAACGAACTAGCAAATATTATTTTTTGTTCTCCTAAATTAATTTAGTCATCAATTTTCGCACCTGTAGATACATATTACGTATGTATGTGCGTGTGTGTGTGTGTATGTATTTAAGTTTGAAATCGATACTCTCGAATCGTAGTAAATCTGTCGACACTTTTTTTTTGTTTTACCCGAACATTCGAAATTTTTAATTAAATTTTAAACAGGATTTTATTACGTTCGTTTAAACTTTCGACTACTATCAAACATTTTCCTACGATATTTTTTATTCTAACACATGTTGATTAACAAATTGTACATGACAACAGATCTCTACGTTGACAAGTTCTATTATTTTATTAGTATCAATTGAATTTCATTTCGGTGACGTGTTATATATCATCAAATTCATTCCAACAAGTGAAAAAAAAAAAAAAAAAAGAAAAACTGCACGTAGGAAAAAGAAATTCATGAATTTTATATATATATATATACGAAAATCTTGAAAAACATTTAATTATATCGAATCGTAGAATTATTTGTATTATTAATTAATTATTATTTATTAATCTTTTAGATGACACGTTAAAAAGTGTTACTTGTTACCTTTTATTAAACTAAATGAAATACACACTAAAAAATGTCC